ATGACGTCATCGCAGTTGACGTATCCATCGAGTGTCTTTCTGAGACTGTTCCAGTCGAATGCCGCTGGATTGTCGAAGTCGTAGTCTCCTGCTTCACAGTAGGCGAAGTTCTCCTCCTTGTAGTAGCAGTCGAGGGAGATCGAGGCAATTCGGAATCCAAGGAGACTCTTCTTCAGAAGTGTAGTGAAAGTTGTTTTACCAGCACATGAACAGCCCTGAACCAGAACGAAGAGTGGTGCCCTACCATTTCCCATAAGTGGGATAAAATACAGTGAAATATAATATAGTAAAGTGTAGTGAAATGAGTAAAATGGAATATTTTCTACCTAAATTGGTATTACAGTAGTAACAGTAGTAATGATAGTAACAGTAATAATAGTAACAGTAATAATAATAGCAACTTATTCAATCCATTTACTCACGTCCAACCAGCCTCTCCTTCTTCTCCTTCTTCTCGAACTCGAATTCGTGCTCGAATCCAAGCTGAATCTCCTCAACCACGCCAAACTGGACGAACAGTCGCTCTGCAACTGCCCTGCATTCAGCCAGGTTGAATGTTCCACCAACTACGCGAATATCCGGCTCATTGTGCTCCGTGTAAACCCATTTCTGGGTGGCTGGCCAAATCAGCGTCTCAAAGCGCGTCTCAAGCGACCGAGCAAACTCGGCCGAGCTGTCGCGGTACCTGCTTCCCGCATCCCGCCTCATCCGAACTGCCTTCACCATCTCCTTCNTCTCCTTCTTCTCCTTCTTCTCGAACTCGAATTCGTGCTCGAATCCAAGCTGAATCTCCTCAACCACGCCAAACTGGACGAACAGTCGCTCTGCAACTGCCCTGCATTCAGCCAGGTTGAATGTTCCACCAACTACGCGAATATCCGGCTCATTGTGCTCCGTGTAAACCCATTTCTGGGTGGCTGGCCAAATCAGCGTCTCAAAGCGCGTCTCAAGCGACCGAGCAAACTCGGCCGAGCTGTCGCGGTACCTGCTTCCCGCATCCCGCCTCATCCGAACTGCCTTCACCATCTCCTTCTCAAGGGTCATTTCTATTTTGATCACATCAAACAGCTCCCTGAAGGCGTGGGCGTTCTCGACGAAGGCGTCTGGGTTCCTCTCAGGCGGATTCCACGCACTCAGCCTGCTCGTGTCAAACACGGACCCGTTGAACAGGTTGAACGCGTAGATGCCCTCCAAAATGATGATTTCCGGCCTACTGTTTCTGACTCGCTCGCTTCTCTCCCGATGCGTCGTGAAGTCGTACCGCTTCTCCACCACGAACTCGTCTCCATCCGCGTATCCGTGCAGGGCAGTGGCCAGCCCAGCCCAGTCCAGGGCGGCTGGGTTGTCGAAGTCGTACGAATCGGCCACCGTGTCGCGGTAGTTGAACTCAACTCCTCGATAGTAGTCGTCAAGGCAGATCCGCTTCACGTTTCGCGTAATCTCCAAGTTCCCAGTCAAATAGTCGCCAAATGCCGTCTTTCCGGTGCACGAACTGCCCTGGATCAGCACCACGGCCGTCATTTTGCTCTCTCGTCCCATTAGGGGCTACATTAAAATGATTCTTACTCTTTTCAGTGATGGATATTTTTAGATAAAAATGACTACTAGCAAAGATCTATTGAATATTGTAGTTAATTTTGTGATCAATTACCCCTTAAAATGATGGTAGCTATCAATATCATTAGCTATCAATGTTGGTAGCTATCAATATTGATAGCTAGTGATGTCATGGTGACAGATTGAAGTATATTGCTACCACCCTACCACCCTATCAATTCCATTCGTCTGACCCTGACTCATTTGCATCCTGTTTCATCCGTATCAGCTGTTGAGTTGTCGTGGCATCAGTGACTCCTTTTTCTGATCTAATTCGAACAAATCGTGGAAACCTGAGACTGAGTCCCCTCTCCAACAGGGTGGCTCCAGCTGCGTAGACGGGTGACTCGGAAATGGAGGCAGCCTTCACCTCCCAGACAGTCCCTTCCTCCACGAACACGTCTGGATCCTCCTTCACCACGAATCTCTTGCTTCTTCCCCCTGTTTTCAACTCATTTTTAATCTGCCTAAGAATCTCATCATCAAATCCAGTTCCAATCTTGCAACAGGCCTCAACCGTCTCATTCTCGTCGTTGTAGACGCCAAGGAGAAACCCACCGTAGAGTCCCGCCCTTCTTCCTCTCCCGTAGTACGCCCCCATCACCACCAAATCAACTGAATCACCCAATCCATCCAAGTAGTCCTTCTTCAACTTGATCCACCTGTTTGATCGGTGAGACGGCCTATAGGGCGTATCAGTGTCCTTCAGCATCAGTCCCTCGCAACCAGATTCAACCGACTTCCCAAACAGCACCATCATTTTGTCAGTCGCCTCCTTTTCGAAGAGAGCGCCCTCAGCGAACTGAAACACCCCGGGAATCTCAGTGAAGTTGGCCCTGAGAATCTCACGACGCTCCTTCAGCGGCAGATCAAGCAGCTCCTGTCCGTCGTAGTAGATCAGGTCAAATGCAAAGACACAGACACCAACTGCTATTTCACCCACGTTCTTCCTCTTTCTGGTGCTCAGCACCTGAAATGGCTGAATTCGACCATTTGAGTACGCCACCACCTCTCCATCAAGAATGAAGTCGCAGTCACTCAGCTTCACCCCTGCTACGTCCCTGTACTTCTCGCTGATATCCTCGTTGTTTCGGCTGAATATTTTGGTTAGGGGATGCACTTCACAGTTGTGGTTGTAGTGGTTACCATTTTCGTAGTTACCATTTTCATAGTTACTAATTTGACTACCATTTTCATAGTTACTAATTTGGTTACCATTTTCATAACTACCATTTTGACTACCACACCCTCCATGGATTTGTACTCGTTCTCCGTCGTACTTGAACTCGCCCAGGATGCCCTCGAACGTGGATGTCGCCCTCTCTGCGTCAGTCGTGGCCTTGGCCATCATCGGTCGAAGTGGAATCCCTGGCACAACCCCAATTTCCATTGACTCAAAATCACCCCTGTTTTTGATCATCTGATTCACAAGGTACTCGAAATCCTGTCTCTTGCTGTACGCCTCCTTGATCAGCCCTGGATCGGCAGAGAAGGCAGTTGCTAATCCAACCAGAACAGTCTGCAGTGCCAAACCAACCTTCAACTTGGTCTCAAGGAGTCTGATCAGAAACTTCGACTCAATTGGCGTACACCCCCGTATCACGGCCAGAATGGCCCTCTTCTTCTCGGCTGATGAGTTCTTGCCAGTCATCCGACAGAGTCCTCGCATCAGCCCAAAGACGTCACTCACCCCAAGTGCCCTCTCTTTCACCCGTATGAAACTGTTCAAATTCCCTGTTTTCTTGTGGTCTAAAATTATTGAGCCATAGTCCCCTCTTTTCTGGAACTCAGCCCTGATCTGCCTCAGATCGAGAGAGGTGCTCTCTCTGATGATTCCTAGGACAGTCGAGTCGCCTACGTTCATTTCCAGGGCGGAATACGGTGGATACGGTGCAGCAACACACATGCTCACCACCTCGTGCAATAGTGGTCCATTGGTGGCCAGAATGCGCCTGTAGTAGCCAGAGAGGATGGCCTGGATCTCAATTCGGCTCGACGTCTCCTCAATCAGCTGCATTGTCTCCGCAAACTCCCTGAATCCTGTTTCTTCACCCTGCATAAAATGGGTGATTCTTGTTTTCTTTTTACCCCAAAATGAGTGACGCAAACAAGGAGCGAAACAGCTGCGTCTCAGCCAACGTGGGCGGGACGATCCACGTCGTGGCCGACTTCGACCGCAACGAGTCGCAGATCCAGGCCATTCCGCTCCACAGGTGCACGAACTGCCAGGGCTACCTGAACTGCTTCTGCGAGGTTGTCTCGCCTGGATTGAAGTGGCAGTGTGTCCTCTGCAAAAGGGTGAATGTGGTGACTGATCCATTTGTGTACCGTGACAATGCGTACAGACAGGCTGAGGCAGTCGAAGACTACAACAGAAGGACATTTGAGTTTGTTCCCCTTGTTGACGATGTCTACGAAATTGAGGCACCTGAGAACTTCAGCATCAAAACGACTGAGCCACCTGCCCTTGTTTTCGTAGTCGACTGCTCCCTGGAAGCCAGGAGATGCGGGCTGCTTGAAAGTGTCCTGGACTCGGTGAAGGAGTCGCTGGAGCACGCAATCAGCACCAACTGCTACGACGCACGCAGCCGAGTCGCCTTCTTCTTCTACGCCGAACACGCCTACGTTCTGAACAGAAATGGATCAATAACTTGCGTGACTGGGCCAATGCCAATAATGCTGAAGGAGGAGATGAGTTTCAACCTCTACGAGGAGACTAAGGCCGTTCTGGCTGGGATGGAGGGCGTCCTAGGCCACTTTGGTCGAATCGAGTCGGGTCACACGAATCTGCTTGCGGCTGTTCAGCTGGCTGCGACTGCCTTCAGGTCTGGAACAATCTACGCCTTCATTTCGTCAATGCCAAATTCAGGAATTGGTGCCCTGAAACAGAAGAGCACCCTTCTTCCCCACGAGGAGTACGCGAAGACAGGGAGGATCCTGAACAGCCGAAACATCTCCCTGAGCCTCTACATGTGCACCAGAATGCCACTGGAATACGCCCAGATGAGGCCACTGGTAGTGGGAGGCGGACAGGTCTACCACTACGCCAACTACGATGGGACTGATCCAGTCTACGTCGAGAAGCTTCACAGTGATCTACGAAACCAGATTTGTAGCAAAACAGCCTACAACGCCTTGCTCCGAATCAGGTGCTCAGATGGGGCAGGAGTCAGACACGTATTCGGAAACTGCATCGAAAGAGGAAACAACCTCTTTGGCTACCCAAATTACAGTCCATCTCATTCAATCTGCTTCAACGTGGATGTGGGGACTAGAAGTGAGCCAGTCTACTTTCAGATGGCAATGATTCGCGTGAATCAGCTTGGAATCAAGACGATCAAGGTTCAGACAATCAGGGCAAATGGATCAGAGGGAGGAGACCCGCTCTACTCGGCCATGGGCTGCTTCCAAAATGCAGTTGAGAAGGAGCTCGTCAAACAGGGGACTGGTCGCGTCTTCCTGGACCAGTCACTGAAGACGCTCTTCAGCACCGGTCTCGATAAGACCGCCCTATCAACCTACTTTTCAGCCTACTCAAAGAATCTCGTTCTGGACCAGTCGATTTCATCTGATTTCAGGGCGTATTACGCGTATCTCTTCACCAACTCATCAATTGAGGTGTTGGCGGCCATGTCGTATCCAACACTGATCAATGTCGCAGACGCAGAGGTGGCTCTGCCGCTGAGCCAGGCCTCCTTGGTCTCAGATGGCCTCTATTTGATGGATTCTGGGGTGAACTTGTATTTGTACGCTGGTGAGGGATACGACACCAGGGGGCTGTTCAGCGAGGAGGTGACGAGTGGCGTGACGCTCTTCGACTGCTTCTCAGACAACGAGCTGGGCAGATACGTCGGGGAGCTGATTTCGTATTTCACAGAAAGAAGAGCCATTAAACCACGGTACATTCTGGTGCTGGAGAATGAGAAGTCGTCCTATGGTGAGATATTCAGGAAGCACCTCTACGATGACCCAATGAGGGGGTTGCCTAGTGCAATGGAGTACTACAATAGAAACATAAATTAAGAGGGTGTAAGAATGTTACGTAAAATAGCCTTATTTCAGATGCATAAGAAACAGATTAGCGAATTACTGGATGACATTCTGGGGGACTATTCTGAGATAATTGAGGCATTTGCAGCCACGGGAAGCAGGAGAGAGGAGGTTGAGGCATTGGTGAATGCCAGGATGAGATGCATGGGATTGAATAACAAAATTTGTGAAATATTCAAGTTATTAGTGGAAATGAAGTACAACTAGGGTGTGGTAGTAGTTACAGTAGTTGATTATATAGCTACCACTATAACTACTTACATAACTACTCAAATTATTACCCATGCCTATTAACTCTCCTGTGAAAGTGCTTCGTGGTTCAGCTGGTAGAAACCACCACGACAAACTGTCTAAGAAGAACAAGAAGACAAAGTCACTCCTTCTCTCTCCTATTGAAATACAGCAGATTGTATCAGACAAAATTAAGAGGATACTGAAACAGTCAACAAATGACGAACAAGGCGATGTGCGACCTGGAGACGAGGATATTCGATTTGGACCTGTTGGTTGATGACTACGTGCAGAATAAGGGGAAAGAAGACGGATGTGAAGCAGAATCAGAAATAAACAGTCAGATCATAGCCATTGATTCAGTGATAAGCAGCACCAATTTGCCTCGGTCTACGAGTCGGATGTTTCTGAACAGCAAGTTGAAGTACCTTGATACGTACACGGATCACACGTACTACGAGACAGTTCGTAGGAGCAGCAATCTGGATAAAATATACGATGATGCAAATGAAATAGCAGAAATAACAGAATACCTGAATAAGACGGTGATATCACAGGATGAGCTGATTGATGGAGTATGCAACTTCATGGTGCAGGCTGAGAATGATACGAGAGAGGCAACTGCTGAATTGGATCGAGCAAATGCAAGAGAAGTGGGGAGGATGAAAGTGTACAGAATAATATTTGTGATAATTGGGCTGATTATCGGGTACGGAATAATACGGTGATGGTGCCATTTAATGGTGTCATCCTAGGAAGAGTATTTTATGAATAAATCTACTGATTTACGGTATCATGTTGCTACTCTTTGCCATTCTCACTGCTGAAGAATCCCTGATATTTTTCACTGCTGATTCCAAAGTACTCGATCCAGGTGGCCTCCTCTACGAAATCAACGTCCATCTTGAACTTATCCCAGAAAGTAGCCCCCTTCCACTCCTTCTTGTTGTCTCCTGCTATTCTTGGGCCATCTGACAGTATTCTGCATGTTACACCTATCTTAGTATCCTCCATTGCCACTCTTCTTTTGCTGGTGAATCCAACGTAGGCCCTTACTCTTTCTCCAGTCATCGGATACTCCTTCTTGGTGTCACCAATGCACGTGATATTGATTCTACACTTGGATGCACCCACCGTAATTGGGTATTTCACCACTTCATTCATCTTCTTCTCTATGCATGCACGAAGTAGTCTAATTCTGCTGTCTTGGTCGTCTCTCTCGTCAAACAGCTTCAGTCTCTCCAATTCAGCCTCGTAGTTTGCTTTATACAAATTGAGAAATTCCTTACCAGAAAGTGACATGGGTAATTGCAATAAAATGTGACTGTAATAGGCAGAATATTAAGGTGGTGTTGTATACCAACTTACCCATCTAATTAGTTACTTATCTAATTAGTTACTCATCTAATTAGTTACTCATCTAATTAGTTACCCATCTAATTAGTTACCTACCTATATTCATAATAATAAGTTACATTCCACTCATTGTACCCCATGCCATCCTGGTACATTGAAAACCATCTTGGCCTCTATTCACCGATTCTACTCAAATCAATCAGACAAAATGGATCAGAATGTGAGACAATGCCAACAGTCTACGATCACAAGTGCATAGAGCAGACATGTGCAAAAATGACAGTATTGAAGATAAATTCACCAGCAGAGGCAACAAAGGTCAAGGGATACGTCACGAATGGATCAGCACGAATTCCAGTTGACTTGATGGAGAGCAACGTCCTCTACCTCCAGAGCTGCTTCGACCTTCTCCACCTCTTCGTCTACTTCGTAGACGCAGCCAATGGCGGAGTATTGCGCGTATTCAGCTGCAAAGTGGCAGCTTGTGGTCGATGGGGCGTCCTGGACGTCAAGGCCCATGAAGTTGGTTTCTTTGGTGATAAATCATTTGTGGTGGAAAATGATGAGTATCTTACAATTCAGCTGGAAGTAGAGGAGATGAGAACGAAACAGTACCACTACAGAATAGATTGTGATGATAGGAGAGTGGATAATAGACCAATTTGTAGTGGATTCAGCATGCTCTTCTATGGGAGACTGTACAGTTTGGTGGAATTCAGGTGTCCATTTTGTCAGGTGAAACACGGCAATTTGAGTCACCTGAAAATGCACATAAATCACCAGCACCTTTATTTTAGGGCAGAAATAGAAGAGAAGACAGTCAAAATAGTGAAGAATGAGACAGAAACAGAAACAAGCAGGGAGTTCACGTTTGTAAGCAGGATGTATCGGGGTAGAAATGCACAGATCATTGGGAAGAGGAACATGCGCCACTATAAGTTCATCAAGGTGGACGAGAAGGAGTTTAGGGGGCGTATTTATGAAATATACCACTATAGCGAGTATTTGGTTAGGGTATTGAAGTATGGGCTGGAACACAGGATGCTGATTGAGAAGGAGAGTTTGACAGGTGGAAAGGTGAATGAGGCATTGGCAATTCACTTGAATAGCAGAATGGGAGACTACAAAATGAGAGAGGAAGAAAGGAGGATAATGGAAGAGTGGAACAGGCTGAGGATTGAGGGAAGAGGGGCATTGGAGGCAGCGTACGAGGTGTTGGGGCTCTTTGGAGTCACAGAGGAGGTGCTTGGGCTGCTTGAGATTCTCTACACGCAGGGAGTGGTGACTTCTCTTGATTTGATGCAGGCACTAAACAGGTACGAAGCAAAGAAGGAGACGACTGGTGATAAAAAGGTGTTCGTCCACTCTGACACACGTGCATCATAAGTTGCATATGCTCTTAATGGACTGGATGTGCAGAACATGACTGACCCCAGTCCATGAGGACTCTGGCTTAATAGAACTACGGGTAAATTTTGATAGAACTGAATTAGAGTAAAATTAGAAGTTGGGAATTAAATTGTTCGTTCAACCGCACACGCCTGCACCATGAAATACAGACGCGTTTTGTTGAATGGGCTGTATGAAACCTGATTGATCTCGTGCTTAGTAAAGCACGGACTTACCGGATCCATGGGGTAAATTTTAGATACTTTTTTATTAGACTTCAGTTATGAATCTGTGTCTAAGAAGCATCTCTGGTCTCCATCTCCTAGTTTCATCAATTTCTAGACAGCAATCTAGAAAGTTCTCAATCAGTGGGTCTAGTTTTTTTGGCTTTGCGTACCTGAATTTGACTCGCCAGACGTAGTTATTTCTGTTTTTGAGTCCCTTTCCAAAATAATCATAAACGTTATTAGAATACATCATAGTCTTTTCGCGCTCGCTTTTTCCAGGCCAAAGCAGAGGACAAATTACGTGAAGTCCAAGGTGCCAAATATCACTAGTCATCCCCACAACATCATGCATTAGTAGCTCAGGTGGCATGAGCCATATTGGAACAAAACTAACATCTAATGTTCTAGTTATTGCAACCACTGCAACATCGAAATCAATTATTTTTGTAACGTATTTTCCATCTACCTTTTTCTGCATCAGATTGGCCATTCTAAGGTCATTGTGGACAATACTTCTTGACTGAAGGTAGACCAATCCATTCAGAATATCTTTTGCTATTCTCTGAACTGCATAGTAGTCACCAGAATATTTTGATTCATCTATTTTCTCCAATTTCTCAGTCAGCATCACTACAGTAAGTTTTCCTTTTAATCCTATTCTGAATGAATAATAGTGATACATCTTGATCACGTTTGGATGATCTAAATCCTTCATTATGTCACATTCTGTTCCTCCATTTATCTCCATTGATGTGTTTATCTTCAGACAATATTTATCATTAATATAAATTTTGGTCTTCTCTACATTATAGGTTCTCAGATATCCTAGCCTTAGCATATATGCCTGGATTTCAGCATGTTTGAATTGACGGAATAATGATTCAATCATTCTGGCCGTTTTTATGAAGTTATCTCTGATAAATAGATCATTTGGATTAGCAGGCGGTGGCTTGGCAGCTTCTGTGTATTTTGCTAATGATGCTATTGCTCCAAGTGGTTTTGTTCCTAGTGGATTATATCTTAGTGATGGTCTCACTGCTGGTAATTTTGGTCTATATGGATTTGCTGCTGGTATAAATGGCAATCCTACTGTAGGTGGACCAGGTTTTGTTGCTGGGAATGACAATCCTACTATAGGTGGACCAGGTTTTGCTGGTAGTCCTTTTTGTGCTGGAGTTCGTAAAAATCTAGATGTATGATGTACTAGTGGTTTGGCGACAAGATTGTGTATTGGTTTTCGTGGCTGTGGCGGTGTAAATACTCGCTTTGGTGGCACATATGATTCTTCTGTTGGTATCGGTATGTGTCTAAGTGGTGTTTTTTGTTTTATTGGTGTTTTTTGTTTTATTGGTG